GCTGAAGATGTTCCTGCTTCTCCTGTTAGGTGCCCTGAGTGCTCTGGCTGTTTGTAGGGTTACAGAGCTACAGCACCAGCCAGTGTGTGTTAGTGTGAACATGCTATATGAAGATGCATTAACCTTTTTACCAAGTCGTGAAATCTTTCAAAATATACTGCAGCCAAACTCACAGCAATAATGCTGTCTTAAGTTCTGAAGGACTCTTGCCTCCTGCTTTTTTTTTTTCATTAACATAGCCAGAATTCCTATGGAATTGAACTCTGGTGAAAATCATTTTTAGTTGTTTAGCAATGGCAGCTTTAAACCAGAGCAGAAATATGGCCCAGATCTTCTTTACTGTATCTTTTTTGCAGTTCTTTTGATAAACAATGTTTTCTTCCTCCAGAGTGGAGCATTTTTAGGCTCCAAATCATAGACTTCTGAGCTGTAGGGAAAAAAAATGCCTATCCAATGAAGCTAGCTTGTCATTATAAAAAGCTTTACTACACACAGCCTTTGCATATTACCATTCTAGCAAAGATGCTCAGTCTGGAAACCATTATGCTAGATGGCTAAACCATCCATACAGTTGAGAGCAAAGTTTGATTGTTACATAAAGACTCCTTCAAATTCAGTTTGGCTCGTGGTGACTTCATGAACAATATGAACATGATTTGCCAATCCTTTCTTTCAAAATGTTTTCCCACTTAATGGTATATTCTTAATATTCTCTAGAGAAGTGTTTCTCAGCCTCAGCCACTTTTAAAATATATGGACTTCAACTTCCAGCATGCTGACTAGGACAGGGCTTTTCAACCTTTTCACATATTGTACCACTTTTAGGATATGGCAATNTGCCCCCTCGGCTTGTTGGGATGTCTGTGATGGAACCTCCTAAGCAGACGGGGTGCGTGCACCTCGCTATCTTTCACCCAGGATGCTTCTGACAACGGATAGCCTTTCCATCGTACAAGGTACGACACTCCATTCCTACTTCTCTTGGAATCTAGTATGTCCTGTACCTCGTACTGATCGGAGGTTACGGGCCCTGGGGTGATTATGATTATTAATCCTTATGAATTATATCTAATGGATATGCCCAAAGCAAATTTAGTAATATTGTAAGACACCCAGAGTTACCCCGAGGTAAAATGTGTGCCAATAAATTTAATAAGTAATAATAATGTTCCACAAAACTAATTATACTTTCCTCCTAAATAGAAGACAGCCATCTTTTTTTAACCAACTGCTGAGAAGTCCAATATGTCAGAAATTTTTTTCCACTGAACTAAATGAGTTTTTAAACAATAAGAAACATTCTAACATTTCTTAACACACAAGCCATTGATTTGCATGATATTTTAGTTTTGTATTCCAGTTTATTTGTATATTATCCACATTTAGCCAATGCCTTCATTTTTGGATCTAAATTGTTATTTTAGCCTTTGTAAAAAGTTTCTCTAATGCAGATAAAAATTATCTGGGTTCTAAAGTTTCAGAGTTTTTAAAAAATAATTATAAAACCCCGAATTTATAGGGACAGGTAAATGCAGTGAAACCAAATATGACTTCTAGACTGAGAAATGTTTTGAAAGCAATGCATATATTACTCCTCTTAAATATTTTTCCAAGCCTTAGTTAATGACTAATTTTCATAGAAAGAACAAATACCTAGCATCAGATTTCCTGATTTCGAAGCATATAAATAGGGTTTTTTTTCTTAACCAATAATAATTTGGAATGGGGATGAAACTAAATGTGTTGGTTCAACTTCCTCATTGTAAATATTATTATTTGATAACATGGAAGTCTTGGAAACTTCTTGATTCTAACTAGGAATCTACTGATGTTTCTAGCACATGGCAGCTTAATATATTTGGGTCCTATTGGGAAAGAAATTAAAATTTGATTTTAGATATCAAAAGAACTGCCTGCTTCTAAATAATAATAATAATAATGATGATAAAGTTGGAAGGGACCTTGGAGGTCATCTAGTCCAACCCCCTGCTCAGGCAGGAAACCCTATACCATTTCGGACAAATGGCTGTTTAAATAATTAAATTAAAGAATTAAAATAATTCTTATTTTAAAATGAAAGGAAAAGTTTTGAAGTGGAAACCATGAACCAAAATGGAAATAATACTGTTACTTCTAAAAAATGTTAAAAGCCTATATTGATGTGTATACAAGGGAAAAGAGCAGCACAAAGGCAACAAATAGATATTGATTAAGTAAATAGCTGCTGAATCAGTTGCCTATAAATAACATTATTTGATTCCTATCTCTGTATATCAACCATTCTCTCTTACATACACATCACACAAAACCATACAGGTAACACATATTCTGTTGCTGGTGATGGATGAAGGGAAGAAATTGCTGCACTGGGAAGGAAAGAGGGAGTGGGAGCAAAACTGAATGGGGTAGATTAAGAGATACTGAACAGGGAAAGGAAGAGAAACTTAAGCACGGCAATTAAAATTCAGCATTGAAGTTAAGCAGGCAAGCAGCCCCAACTGAAATTAAACTTCAGAGGCTTTCAGACTTCTTAGCATCTTGGTCTGTAGCCATGCTGAATTGTAAAAACATATGCAGTGGGTACTTTCTCCAATTCTTGGTTTTTTATTCTATCAGGGAATCTGATACGGGGCAGCCCT